AAACTTTCATTCGAAATACATGTATGCTCTCCAGCTCTACTGGATTCTTATGTTGCCTTCTTGTAAGCTTTCAAAAAAATATGTCAATAGGAATGGCCTTGTCTTCTTTGAATTTCGCTTCTGCTCTGTGACTTGAGGGCGCTCGTCTGTGTGGTTTAGTGGTCAACGTATCAAGACTATACACTACACTACTCGGGTTCGAGTCTAACTGGGGGTGCGGATGGGACCTGAGCGAGATCTAAACTGCAATCCACTCTGGATGAGAATACCTTTTTGGAAGCAAGGCTATGTGAAATCCATTAAAAACACAAGTTGTCAGAAAATTCATCTGCCAGTTCTTCATTACGCTAAACGAAGTAGGATTGATAGTAAAGTTGTGTTTTATGCAAACATTGAAATATACGACGTTACTTAATTTCGGTATCATAGTTTTGGATACTATCAATAATTCTTGAATAGGAAAAAAACTGAGTTTGGAGAAGCCTGGCCTGCTGTGTATATCATGTCCGTAGATATATTGTCGTATGGTAACATATCGCCAGGATACTAACGACCCAGTATCAAATTTCACTGAGGTTGTTGGTGAAACCTTGTCGAGGTCGAAACTCCATTCCATTTTGGTTTCTAAGCTTTTAAGTTGCAAGGCTAAATGAGATTAAACGGCACCGGAAGGCCTACTTATCTTATTGTGAAGAAAACGATCATTACTTAAATCACCTTAAGTGATCTATGGTGACTAGGTTCTTATTCAAGTATTACTTGTAATGTCGGAAACTACTTGTTTAGTTTATAGTCTGTCGGCTTTCAATTCTAGTTTAGGCACTATTTACATACATTTCACATGCAATTCACCTCATAGCATACATCAACTTTACAGTAGAACTATCGGTGATTTCGGCAAGGAAACAGGTGATTTGCTAAATCCGAATAAACATTTCTCATCAACACTAATGTAGAAAGAGATATTAAATAGCCAGCAAGACGCGAAATTTAGAACTGATTTATTGAGGTTTGAGATAACGCGTCTAGAACAAAAAAAACTTTATTTGGTTTCCAATTCGGCCAAATTTACAAATTAAGGTCCATTATTATCAATTGCGCGTTGAACCACATGGCATTTATAGTTTTAGAGATGCTAACTTTCTTCGTCCTTTTAACTTAAAATACAATTTTGTATTAATAATCTTGATCTAGTGCCTGATATTCGAAATTTTCTCTTTGGCTTCTTCCCCTAAGCCTCTCGTCACTGTTGCAAATATGCCTGATTCGTCCTCTTCTAGTCTTTCCATCCGACCAGCTAATGACCTAGCTGTAAATTCTGACAAACTTTGGCCTATGTCTCTGGTCTCTGGAAGCAAACGGATACCCAGCCCTCGATCCAAGCTGCTTAATATCACTGCTCCCATCGACATTTCTGGCACTCCGTCATCTGTGTCCGAAGTTCTTGTTGGCCCCTCTTTGTTTTCATCTGTCCAGCTTGAGGGCAAGGCTTCACAGGAGTTTGGTGACAGAGGCGGATTCACGAGACCTGGGGCTGATCTTGCATGGCTAGATGCAAATCTATGCCGAATGCCAGCATCTCCCTGTCTGCCTGGGAGGACAATCGTTTTTCCCGGCAGTTGTTTGGATGAGTTAGTCTACTACTTAACCTACTTTTGGCATATTTCAATTAATTTTTTCTTGTTCTACCGTCATTTGAACATTTTTAACGTGAAATATACTATGATCGCTACTTGCCTATTCGCTATTTGTTTTTTTTAATGTCCTTAGATCTTCAAAATTTCGCTTGCTAAGATCATAAATTTTTGCTCCTACGGCAAAATGTTTCCATACACATAAATTTTTATTTTTGTCTATTTTTACTACTGTTCTTTTTTTTCAGTCCCATTCCTATTGGAAGCGGTGGCGAGGATCCTCCCGAAGGTGCTCTCTGTGACCTATTTCTGCGACTCCTTAATTTGCCCGACCCAGACGAACCTACCTGTCGTCTGTGCGCTCCAATATTATATCTGCCTTCTGCTGAATGGTAAACTACTTTTGCATGTGAAAGTTATCAACAATTTCATTACTACATTTCTTTGATCTATCTTTAAAATTTACTCCAATTCTGGACATTTCAATTCACTAATCTATCTGCATTTTTCGGATATTTGGACATCAACCTCTTCTTTTGAATAATTTAATAAAGCAACAAAAGATACAAATGTGTTTCAGGTCTTTTCGCTATCTATTTTACAGCAACAATTTCGTTATTTGTGTAAGCTGTTTAAATGGCCAAAGTTGCCAAATATTCTTACAATTTTAAATTGAAATGTTTAGATTGGATTGCTTCAGGCCTTTATTATCAGATTTGTCTACCAAATTCGTCATTGATATTGACGCTATTA